CGTCCGATGTGAACAAAATAAAATTATTAAATGCGAAATAAATATTACGCACAGTAAAGACATTCAAAGGTGTTTATAACAATATCAAACACATTCGTAATAATAATAATAATGTATGATATGTTGAATATACTATATTAAAAATGATAGTGATATTGTGTGGGTATTGGGTGTAAATTCGGCGTGCCTGTGCCTGTTATCTTCCGACGAGTATATCTGGATTCAAATTAAAAGACAGCAATAAAATATATGTGTACAAGTACATACCTTGTTTTTTAGCTTCACATATTTGATACAGTTTACAAAACACCAGCACAACAACTCCTATTCTCTTCATTTTGCAATAGAGACAAATATTCGTTGTCCCAATGCCCAACAAGATTTTATATTAATAGTAATGACACGGAAATTGTTTTTTAGTAATTACTCGGTTATTGTCTCTCGGAAATAACGTCCTACTGTTTCTCCCACATTATAACAATATTAATTTCCTGACAATTAACAGTACCTAATTATACCATGGTATATTTTATGATTGATAGGCATAGTTTCAAATGTTACTGTTATTGTCCACGTCAGAAAAACATTGTATATATACATCAGTGATAAGTCAATATTATAGCGATTTATACTGTAAACTGTCTAATACCAGTGAGGTTAATTCTTGTATAACCACATTTCAAATGCAGACTGTTCTCACATTATTCAACAGGAGAGTAAAACGTTCATAGACTGGCATTTTTACTATATATCTACGAGCTGTGTGGATGCATGGCCGCCCTACTGAATGAGTTAAGCAGGTGAAAGCAGCATGTAGTTTACTATGATATGTACATGAATGCGATTTCTCCATGTCATTGTTTCATTTTCCTTCTTTACTCAAGAAGTTACGTTACACATGCACGCAGTGTTGATAGTGTTGATATGTCATATCAGCCATGTTTTCACGACTTGCCTATTCCGGTTGTCTTAACTGTTGTCAATTGGCGTGATATTCAAATAGTAATGTTGAAAAACTGTTTTTTTCACCGTCGAAATAATATGTTATTCATATTCTATAACTGTTTTATTTGTATGCGCAATACTCATTAATTGTTAATATTTCGGTAGACATCATGAATAAACATAAACGAAGAATCTCTGCAAATATTGTCCTTGTACATTAGGTTCATTATACGATCAATATGCTTCAAAAACTACTCTGTTGCAGCATATGAAAAAACACAATTTAAAGATTAGAAATGTACTAAAGTTTTACACAATGTCTAATTTAAATTATCAACCCTAAATTGCTATAAATTTTGAATTTGACTAATATTCAGCAGCGTATTACCAAAGAAATATATAGAATGATGTTTTCATTTTTATCGGTAGGTCACTGTTAACACAGTGACAGACACATGCCAAGGAAGGAGGGAACGTTGGATATTTTTGTTATGCCGATAGCTCTAGAATAGATAGAATTCAGAAGGGTAAAATGCTTCTTATCAATAGACAATAATCCATGGAATATTATTCTCATTCATTACCTGAGACCACTGGATAACTTTATTTTGCAATATTATGTTATATGCAATCACCGTTGGGCACATCCAATTGTTTATTTTGCCATGTGACCATGTCTGATATACCCATATCCTTTGCCAAGTATCTGACGTGTTGCCAACGTTTGTCATTGTGCGGTTTAAAAACCTTGAGCATTTGTTCGATCAAGAAATGTTTTCAGAATGTTATAGAAAAAAGTTCACGTCTCAAAAACGGCACATAACAGTAACGTACAATATTAAAAGACGAGCGCATGATTTTGTATAATAGTGTAGACTGATTATAGAATAAACGTTTCTCGTGCGTAAATAATTTCATAACCCGGGTGTCGGTGTAATAGACAATGAGTTTCGTGTATTTCGTGGAGTATGCGTCATAATACATGAAGATCGAGCACCAAGTGATTAACATATAATCCACCAAACTCTTTTATTACCTGAATTATCACATGGCGAGATTGATTAACAACGAAATATTTTACAAAAAGATAACCATCTGCTGCTGGATATTTCGTGTCTGTGTATTTCTTTTATTCCAGCAGTGTTTTTTTAGTCGTCATTATGACTGGCAACGGAATGACGATACACGAGTGTAGTTCTAGGCGTTCTTATTGGGATTATTTTCAATGGAATACCACGTAAAAAAGCCATAAACCATTTCCAAAGGGTATCTAGTGATCGATTTTTGACGTTACTGACGACCCCGCATTGTCCATCTAAATATGCGTTTCCAATTGTGTTCGCCAAACAAAGATTAGGTCATAGCTACTATACACCTGGTCGTACGCGAATTTATGACAATGGTTTAGGTGACCGAACAGATCGTATGCTACCGTAGTCTGCGTCGGTCGAGTTTACTGCGTAAACCTTCTCTAGCGACAATCCCCAAACTGAAAGAACTCCAACAACAGTAATACAGAAATTAGTAGCTTGGGTAAGTTTTTTTGAACTATCTGAAAAAAATTTCAATTTCATTCAATTTCTAAATTCATGTTGTTATCACTGACACGTCATTCTCGGCATAATAAACTTTGTTGGTAGAAAGTTGAGTAATTTCGTGTAAATTGCTGTTGTTAATTCTTTTCTCTCAAAGAGTGAATTGCGGTTTATAATTCATAGCAAATTCTGGATTCTGATTGGTCAACAGAGTAGCCGTGTGATACATTTAATGAATAATTCCTTGTTTTACCATGAATATGTACCCTGCTGGAATAATGCTCTATCTCGGGTGACGTATTTCTGAAGGGATAAATACCTGATCGTAGGTGTATTGCGTCCATGATGAACCCAGAACAACACATGGCCAAAACACGAATAGCAAATGAAAAACAAACAAAAAACAAAAAAGTGTACTTCAAATTTGAAGACAGTTTACAGATAATTACTGATAACTGGTCTATTCTATCTGTATTATAATATCATTTGAAAAAGTTGGGATCGTATTTCCGTCATTGCTATAAATATGCATTAATGTTTAACATATAGATACTGAGTATCTGTTTCTATTGCAAAATGCAGGGACTAGGTGGTGGTGGTGAAAAAAGGTATACACAACAATATATTCTTGCATTTTGAATGATATGCTTGTCAAAATACGAATTTCAACGCGCCAACTACATATACTGCCATTTCGTGTTTATACGTTATTTTCACGCGTAATGTGTAATTAATACAATGTATTCAAAATATACAGTATGCATTCAAGTGATTACAATTTCATATGTTGACATTATTCTGATTTTTACACACTACCATTAATGTGTTTATTTCAGATTTATATTTGCAGCGAATGACATTAACTACATGAGTTATGGTCTAAATACTGTCGGAACTTTGCAACCAAGCGATGCGATACAAAACGGTGTGAGAAAAGAGGCATTTGCGCATTTGTCAATATGCATGAACAGTATATTGCTGACGCAGTGTCGACTCCTAAATAACCTCCTCAAAAGATAAATATGCCAAGAAACATATCTCTTCATTATGTTTCGTGCAGTTAAATATTGTTTGAGAGTGGGTTAGTAATTGCGTGGCATTATTTTAATGATCAAATTAACTGGTATTTGCACACAATCATTGTTATCGTCTTATTGGTAAATTGTTATACTAATCAAACCACCTCGTTACACACAACATGGTCAGTAGATTGTATCGATGTGGATTACGGTTAAGGTATAAAAAGTAATATCCGTACTAAAGTGTCTATTGGATCACTATACGAACTCCGCGCGATAAAAGGCGTTACAAATGAGCATTGTTATAACGAATCACAACCTGTCAATTGGATTTGAAACACAATTTGTTCGTATTTACAGAGACATCACAAGCAACCCAGTAAATTATTCCATTAACTTTTTATTGTATCGATTGAATTAGGTTTGAAGCCTGGCCACTGTTCATTCATGAACACTGGTCAGTTATGTGAATTCACATGGTGAGTTAACGTAGAATGTTCTTTCAACCAGAAATGTTGTAATACTGACTGTGGTATGCCGTGTTTAAAACCAAAACAAGTATGTTGACAGTATGAATCGATATAGCTTGATTACAGTTAGTTATATGTTGCGTATTAATTATCGAGCGATATAGACGCCCGATCCGAGTTCTGTTGATCCTGTTTCATCACCACCTTGCCAGGAATAACGCAATTAAAGTAGTACGCATATTTTTTTTTTATTTAACCTGTAATTGGTCACGTAATTGTAAAAGTACATGCGACTGGCAGGATAATGATTAACATATAGTCGTTGCCATGCATTGTATTCAGTGTTATACCTTGTTCAAAATGAGAACATAATTTTACAGAAATGGTCCATTCCAAATAATCATTATCAACCTCTGCACAATTGTTTGACCTGTTGAGGGCATCGATCGTGTGTCAACAATTGCCATTCAAACTCTTGTTTTGAAAACTTCCAGCTTGATTGCTTTGATACCTTGGTATCTGGAGGACCTCTTCAGTTTGGTTCATTTCATAGCGATATCTTCAATTCTCTAGTTTTTGGCAAATAGTTTTTACCATTCTTGGTTAGAAGATAATTTTTGACTTCATGAAAACTAATAGCCCATTTGTTGATGTGTTATATCTAAGTACCTTGGATGGACCCTATCAGATTTGTTTTTTTTTCGTGTCGATATCACCTCATGAATGTTCATTGCTCGAGTTCAAAATGTGTAACATTGTGTACCCGACAGAGTGTAAAAATCAAAAGCATTTTAGTTCACCAACCTATATTTCAATTATGTATTCATGAATTACCCGAAATTTTAACCGACATACATGTGTCCTGTTGCATTTGATACATCAACATAAGACATATCGTGACAAGAGTCATTTTAAATTTCATGTTATTGTACTGTGTACATGAGGAACACAACGCTTACCTTTCAGATACAATCGTTTCATTGTTAACATTTTTCATTTTGGTCATTAGAAAGAAATCATGACAAAGGTTATATTATTTCTCGAGTATTTGTATTGATATTGTTTTTTTTATTTATACTATTTATTACGTATATATTAGTATTCAACAATACCAGAATTAATGACTTGGTAAATAAAACGTTAATTTTCGTCACATGTTTGTTCATCAGAATTGTCCCCACAGTCGTCATAACCATCACATTTCCATGACAACGGTTTACATATCCCATTATCACAACGGAACTGGTCTTCTCTGCAAACTGATAAAAAAGAGTAAAATTTATTGACATCTGCATTCGAGTATACCCCTACAGTAATCTCAA